GTTCCTTTAATTGTACTAATCATAGCCTCAGCATGCTGATAGAGACACTATACAGAGTCATTAAAAAATAAACTGGTGGCTTTTGATATGGCTGTATATCAGCACGACTGTGATTCGGCCGTAGGTATTCACAGCGTGCTGATATACAGCCATATTGCACTGCTACGAGTGTGATATTTCAGTTATACAACAGTTTGATGGCATGAGTGTGTAAATACATAAGAAAAAACAGTGTCTTTAAACAACTTATTTTGTATGGAACTTCCTTCCTTCAAAGATTCAAATCTCAGTTTAACAGCAGAGCCCAAGCCTCCATTACTAATACAAAAACGTCACTTTAGAACTAGTAACGATGGAACATTGAGTTACTTTATTAAAAGTTTATTGTATTACTGTATTAAAAGCTCACTGTATTATGTAGAATAGAGTATTATGAGAGAGAGATTGAGTGAGTGTGATTACCTGCATCTTATACAGCATTCATTCTTCAGCTCAATCTCATATTCACAATAAAACATTAGTTTGAATGTCTGCTGAGGAAAGCCATATCTTTGTTGTACTATCCTCTCATCTGTGATGGGTGATTTCCGATGACAGCGCTGCTCAGTGCATTTGTTGGCTGCTACTTACAAAGTGTTGTTGAAAGTTAAACTAACTTCCTTGTTTACAACCCAACAAGTTTTAGTCTCTTTCAACATAAAAATCTTTACTGCTGACTCACTCATAAAAACTGTCTCTTGTCACCATCTAATGGCAGAATAATGTAACTAAAATTTCTCATACTAAATATTATTATTAAATACTACTATTATTTATATCAAATATTATTTATTGAATAATAATATTTATTAAACAACAACAACCGCCATCATAAAAGTTGCTAGGCAATTCAGTCAAAAGTACAAAGGCAGCGCTCTGATATATAGCATTAAACTATTATGAAACTTTTCCCTCAGCCAAAACTATTTGCTCTGAAACAAATAATAGATTAAAGAGACCAAAGGCTGCCTGTTAGATTTACCCAAAACAAATTATCTCTCATGTTTAACCACAATAGAGACATCAGAGCCATCAGCAAATTCCAGAAGATCTGGCCGAGGTGAGGTGCTCTCGGCAGGTTTATGAGCGCTGAACAGCTGCTGACACCCTGGAGCTCACATCTCCGAAAACGGCGAAGCAAATGCTCAAATAGACATTATCTTTATTAACAAACCGCATATCTGAAGTCTAAACAAATACATTATTGCCTAAAAAAAAAAAAAAAACATTCCATTACAAAACAAAAACAGTATTATTTATAAATTTACAGTGGATTTGGGTGTCTGCCATGACCCTCACTATGAGAAATCGGAGTGATACAGTGAAACGGAGTTCTGTTATCACTAGAATATCGCACCACTGGAAAAGGCTCTCAGCCAATGATATCCAAGAACCAGAAAGAACACTGTTGTATATATATATATATATATATATGTGTGTGTGTGTGTGTGTGATCTTGCTGACATGCTAAGAAAAATATCTGTCCCGTGGTGGTCAAATAATTCATTTGATAATACAACTTTTATTAATTCTAGTGCATTGGTGGACCGAAAAGCCTTGATGTCTGTCAGTGCAGGTTTTTGGAATCACAGGGTTTTTAACACCCCAGGGCAGAGGTAGATGGGGTAATATTCACTGTTGGATAAGAGGTTCTGCCACACATCCAAACAGCATCTGTAAAGGGTGAGCAGGAATGAGATTATAGCCCTGAATGTAAAGACAGACATGCGCATCCTGGTATAAACCCTGCCTATGTTCAGAAAGCTCTGTGCTTAGCCTACTGAATACTGTGCAGTATAACCAGGGTTGTATAAGGTGTGCAATCATCGTAAAGATACCTTTATGGAAATCGACCCAAATTACAATATTTTTCATGTGAAAAATACTGCAATATCAAAACCACAAGTCAGTTTTATTATAGCCTACCACTGGCAACAGAGTGTTGTAGTCCTACCACAATAGCTCTTTGACAAAATCCGACACATTACAAATTAAATGAAAAGGAATTAATCCACTTTAACATAAAAGAGAAAAGATCTAAAAACAAGCCAGAACACCCTAGTAACAACACAGCAAAGGGAAAAAAAATGCTGGGGAAACCTTAGTGTCTGCTGCACTCATGTAAACACCACAAAACAAGAGAACTGCAGGAGTGTTCCATCACATAAACAATTTGTATCGTACATAACGTCATCAGTAGCCTACTTCTTAGCATTCACAATTATTAAGCAAACACGTATCAAATTAATTCAGACCCATTACAAATTAAAACTTACACGAGCAGCATCTTTAGATTCCCTAATCTAACAGATTGTTTGGCGAGTTGTGTTCATTTGTTAAGATTATCATGAACAAAACGTGTTAATCATAAACTGTTGTTGATCACGGAGGTTATTTTCTGCAATAATCCAAAAGCCAAAGGAAAAATCCTATTTTTCCTAAAGGGAACTAGGTTGATATGAACTTGCAGGTTGGCCTACAAAAAAACATAACTGCTTTACTCCATGCATACATAAAAATTGCATTGTGCATAGTGTACCTATGTCAGCCTACTGCAGAAATAGTATGCTAGTATGTTATTTCGAAATGCACACACACACACACACAAAACACTCAAGTATGACATACCTTTATCTTGAAAGCGGCGGTTCAGCATGACACAAAGTGTGTATGTGTGTGTGAGTCTATTACCTTAGCATCATTTTCAATTATCTGTCAGCATTGTCAGAGGGAAATTAAAAGAACCCAATTTCCGCAATGCCCTGCCTTAATCGACTCCTCTCTCCGCGCCTGTCTGAAGCCCACATATCCACAGAGCAGTAATGTGATGTTATAGACTTCTCTTTTCATGCTTGTTACATGAAGGAAGCCTTTTTGAAAGTGTGAGCCAAGACCAAAACAAGTGTTAAAATCTGGGGGTCCTGCATGGTTTCTGAAGCCTGTGACACAAATTCATTTAATTTATGACTTCAAGTTACTAGTTTTGGACACATATGCAGACACTGTTACAAGAATTATGGGTTAGTGGCATGACTCTTCAGAAATCTTCAGTAACGGTATAGTTTTGCAGTCATACACTGTGAGAGTGTGCATTTTTTTTGGGGGGGGGGGGGGTGCCAAGTCGCTTGGCTGCTGTCTGTATTCGTTTTATCATATTTGGAGAGACGCTAACCGGCTCTGACAGGGGCACATACAAGGGGTCCATAAGGTCACATATTTGGAAAAGCACTATGGAAAAATTATTCACCATCATTTTGACAATTCTCTATCAAAATCAACTTTGACAGCACATTGCTTGCGTCCTATTTTTGTCTGATTTCTTGCCTCAGGCCATAAAAACATCTCAGGAAAAACACTAGAAAAGCCAGAATACACGATTATGTCCCATTTTTATTAGTGCCATATGAATGTACTCCTTTAGCCCCCTGGTATTTTCATTTGATGTAACTTTCTAATTTATCCCTGAGTAAATAGCAGTCGTAATGCGAATGGAATGAAGAGCAGCCATGAGGCGCGTGCCAATGAGAGAAAAGCGGCCCTCCGTGCAGCAAATTATCTTCCCAGCACGGAAGCATCTGTGCTCAGCCGAGACGAGAGAAAAACAAGGCTTACCTCTCCTCTCCTGCTCCCTAAAAAAAGGCCAGCAATCAATAGAAAGTTCATTTCAGAGAGGCAGTCTGGTAATCTGTTTGGCTGCATGCGCACCTGTCCCTAATGATCTTTCCAGCACAACAGGATGACCTAATCTTCATTCAAATGAATGGCTGCACAACACGGACAATACTTTATCACTCTCTCTCTTGCGTACACAAAGTGATTGGAGGCATGAAGGCCAGTGGAAGACTGATCTGAGTTCAGGGAGTTAAAGGCAGTCTAAGAACATGACTTTTTTTTTTAGTTAGAAAATGGGAACTAATAGGCTGTTTATCAGTGCTTAAACTGGTTGTTGCAGGGGTTATTTCTTTTATATCTGTTTTCATGAGCATGTAAAAATTGGTTGAATTCATTCTATTTTAAGTATTACATAAAATCAAAAAAATTGAGTTCAGGGAGTTAAAGGCAGTCTAAGAACATGACTTTTTTTTTTAGTTAGAAAATGGGAACTACTGAAAATAGGCTGTTTATCAGTGCTTAAACTGGTTGTTGCAGGGGTTATTTCTTTTATATCTGTTTTCATGAGCATGTAAAAATTGGTTGAATTCATTCTATTTTAAGTATTACATAAAATCAAAAAAAATTTAGTACCATGTCATACAATGAATATAACAAAAAAAATAATTAAACATCAAATCAGACAAATGTTTCTTTCAAAAACACATGCATATATACATATACTCAAGTATGCATATGTATATTTATATAGATATTTGTATGTGTGGAGAAAGATAAAATAATTGTTTTAATTCTATTATAACAAACCATACAATGCTGTTTTTGTCCTTTCATTTTTACATAATTTTTTTTTTCCCCAAAAGCATTTAGACATGGAGAAATGTGTGCGTGTGTATATACAGTATATGTGTGTATATATATATATATATATATATATATACACACACACACACACTTTTCTGCAGGTTCTGAAAGCACCTTCATCCAAAGATAATTTGTTGAAAAAGAGGAAATGTGAGCAAATTATCGTGATTTTCATTTAAAGAGCCCGACTGTTACACACTCTTATAAGGGTAGTAAAATGCTGATTTTTGTTCTCAGAATAACCAGCTTTCTCTCGTGTAAATATCTCATACCATAGAAACTACACAAGGTGAATGTCTTTTGCAGTATATCTAAGATTTGAAATAAAATTATTGTTAATGTCAGGAATAAGACTGATGCTCAAAATGACTAAATCAGATCAAATTCTACACTTCCACACAGCACCACTGGATGGCGCCAAAGTACATGTGACAATCTGCATTGTAAATATCAAACAGAGCTTCAAATTAGGCACAAACCCCAAATAGTTTGTCTACAAGCTTTATTGGTACTTTATTGGCTTATTTTCACAATGCATTTCACAGACAGTCTTGAGCATATTTTCATCAAAACTGAATTATCATTTACAAATGACCTGCATGAAGAAACAGTGCATGAAGTTTGCGAGTTTTTAGAGCGTGTGCCGTTTCAGGTATTCGATCCACGATGGAGACGGCAAATTCTGCAAACCTGTTGTTGATTTTGACATGACAGGAAGGTGATAGGCCAACACAGCAGACGTTCTAGTTTGCTTTTTTGTTTTTAACTAAACGGCTAAAAACAATGAATAGTTGGGTGCAATATGCCATAACAGATCCCATTGAAGACAAGTGAGAAATAAAACTGCTCTTAAACTCTGCTACAGAAGACTAGAAGCCTCTTAACCTCTAACACAATTAAATTGCGTCAACTTTAACGCAGTTACACCACAGTGTTCAAGCACGCCAAGTACAAACGAAAAGGGAAAAAACAGCTAAAAACTAAAGATTTGTTGTGAAGGAACTTCGTAACCAAAACATTTCACTCCCTTTATCATACTGAAATGAATCAAAATGGCCTCCAAACAAGCTGAACGCTTCACTGACCGAATAGTAAAATGGAAAAACCTCATCGATTCCTGGCTTTTGCCGACATCAGTTCCTCAGACTACATTCTGTTATGGTGTTACGTAGCTGCGTTTACTTCAAAACATGGAGAACTACATCTACTGTGGAAGAGTGATGACTCTGCTTGAGAGAAACTGATAAGAGGTTTAAAAAGATTTCATTCTCAGTTACGCTAACAATTCAAACACTGGGGGGAGGGGAGGGGGTAAAGTTTACATTGCATCGTCTAAGGCCTTTTTCCAAACCAAACACGATTCTGTCTGTCTTCTCTTGTTCCACCATCACTTCTCGTGCACGGAAATAACACACTAGCTAACTTTCTTCACTCTGTCTTTGGCTTTGATCCGGGAATCTTGGCCTGGATCCTGTAATGACACAAACAAAAGAATATGACTACAGTCCATATGGAACAGGAAAAACATCCATTTATACAACTAATAACTTATTTAGTAGTATATGTATGTATATGTATATACATATATATACACACACACACACATATATATATATATATATGTATGTATGTATATGTGTGTGTGCTGTCAATCGATTAAAAAAAATTATTAAATCGCACATTTTTCTGAAATTTTCTACATTTATTGTAGTTCCTGTGGCTCAGGGGTAGAGCATTGCGTTAGCAGCGCAAAAGGTCGTGGGTTTGATTCCCAGGGAACACATATACTGATAAAAAAAAATTAAAAATGTATAGCCTGAATGCACTTTAAGTCGCTTTGGCGTCTGCTAAATGCATTAATTATTAATTATATTGCAATAATTTCACATTTAATCTTCAAATTAATGTATAAACAACAAAGACAGTATATTTTTTAATTTGTTTAATGGCATCTTTTTCTTTATGACTGAAGGCCAGTATACAGTATAATTGAGCGATATCAATTTTAACATTAGACTTTAAAAAATAACTTTTCTAATTTAAGAGAACTTTAACGTCACATAAACCCATTATAATAAATGTCATATTTACCTGTGCCCTTCAGCAGAAATATACAGAAATTAAAATTGAAGTTATCAAACACTAAATTAAATGTAGATGAATCCTTAAAGCTATAAAAGTTCTTTTTTCCCCTCTTCTTTTTTAGATGGACATCAAAGCAGCTGGTTATTAGGCTGTTTTGGTTGTTATTTCTTTAAGAGCTGCCGCTGCTGAACGTGACGCGGATCTGACACGCATCATATTTTCTCTAATGTGCTATATTACTCTTATTTAATCTTTTTACCTTTTCTGACCCACTTCAGGTCTTAAAGTCTCTATTAATGAGCTGACGAGTTAAATCGGGTGTGTTAGATGATTGAGACAGTGCTGGGCTTCTCCAGGACAGTTTTGAAAATCATTTCAGAGACATGTTCTTAAATGTGACTCATAAAATATATTACATGCATGCACAGTTTTAAGGCAGCTTTAATCGCCTTTTTGGTAACTTCATGACTTGACTTGCCATGGCATTGCATGCATGTAGTTTATTTTGCGCTTTGATATGAAAGGATACAGGCTACAGCGCCTTTGTGCGTGCAATTGAAGAGCACGCGCTGCAAGCACAGTACCGTTTCCGCACTTGTTTGTTCTGCGACTGAATAAATGCACTTCTTGCCAAGAGAATAAGTGACAGAAGCAGCAGTTGTGAGTGGGGTGGCCAACCCTAGCCCCGTCCCTGCGTTAAATATTTTTAACGCGTTAAACTGGAAAAATTAATCGTCTGCGTTAACGCGCTAATTTTGACCACTAAAAAATATAATATATATAAATGTACACACACACAGTCGTGGTCAGAATTATTGGCACCCTTGGTAAATATGATCAAAGGCGGCTGTGAAAATAAATCTGCATTGTTAATCATTTTGATCTTTTATTTAACAAATTCACAAATATCTAACCTTTCACTGAAATAAAACAATTGAAAATGGGGGAAAATCTCTATGAAATAAATGTTTTTCTTAAATACACGGTGGACAATTATTGGTACCCCTAGAAATTCTTAGGAGTAAAATATCTGTGAAGTATATTCCCATTCATATTTTCAATTATGAGCATACCAGGGTGATTATGTACATGAAATTATCCAGCCATGGCTGCCTGTTTCACAGGAATATAAATAGGAGGGAAAACAAAAGCCAAATTCTCTTAATCATCCATCACAATGAGAAAAACCAAAGAATATATTTCTGATGTTCAGCAAAAGATAATTGAGCTTCACAAATTAGAAAGTGACTTTAAGAAAAGAGCTAGAGCAGTGAAAATTCCCATTTCCACCATCAGGGCAATAATTAAGAATTTCCAATCAACAGAAAATGTTACAAATCTGCCTGGAAGAGGAGGTGTGTCTATAGCGTCCTAATGCACGGTGAGGAGGAGAGTTTGAGTGGCTAAAGACTCTCCAAGGACCACAGCTGGAGAACTGCAGAAAATAGAAGAGTCTCAGGGTCAGAAAAACTTTTTAAAAACTTTAAAAAAAATAAATTAAAAAAATCAAACAGCACCTACACATGTTGTTTGGGAGGGTTTCAAGGGGTCCAATGTGTATTAGAGAAAAACATTTATGTCAATGATATTTCCCTCCATTTTAAATTCTTATTCTCCAATGAAAGGTTAAAAAAAAATAAAAGATCAAAGATTAATGCAGATTTATTTTCACAGCCTTCTTTGATCATATTTACCAAGGGTGCCAATAATTCTGACCACGACTGTGTGTGTGTGTGTGTATGTATGATATATATATATATATATATATATACACACACATACACACACACACACACACACACGCCATGGAATTATTTCTCATTTGCATTTAATTTAACTTTATATTAAATATTAATAGAAACCATACATAGATAAATAAATAAAAAATTCAAATTTAAAAACTACTTCACACAGACAAACAATAAATAAATAAATGTGACAATCATCCAAGACTACTATCACTTTTAAAATTAAAATGGAAAACTAAAATAAAAACAAATATTAATAAAAACTAACAGTATTCTCAGTGATTCTAAAATAACCCTATTTTGTCTACAATTATTTCAAATATGCTACAAAATGATCATAAAACACAATTTTTTCATCTGGTTTATTGAAAACACCAGTCAAACAGACTTACTTTCCCAAAACATCTTTGATTTGCTTGTTCACCAGTCCATAGTAATGGTCAATTTGTGCCTGCATTAGGAGTGAAAAAGAATAATTACGGCATTCAGGTATACATTATAGGTTTATTGAAACTGAAGACTCTGATAAACACTTAATCAACCACGACAGCTGACTGAGCAAGAAGTTATCAATGCATACACATGCCAAACATACCTGATGCTTTTCATAGATCACTGGCCAACTGAAAGCACCTATGAGACCTAAAGAAAAAGCACATTTTGAAAATTACGGCATATTCTTAAAATTCTGACAAGTGCCAATTAACTGCAAATGAATAATAAACTAATAGGACAACAGTCCCAAATGGACTTACCCAAAATAAGAAGAGTCAGACCATTGAACAAGGCACCAACATAGGTCAGGATCCACATGAGAACTGCAAACTGGAAGAAGAGAGGAAACCATGTCAACATACTTCCAACAGGCCAGAGGAAACACTGATCAAAACTTACGCAAGGTGTAACAGTATTAAAAAAATAAGATATTCAACAAGGATGCATTAAATTGATAAAAAAGTTACAGTATAGACAGTTACAAAAAAATAAAAAACAAAAATAAATGTTCCGTTCTTACTAATAAAAACTCAAGAGTCAGAAAGATGGTCAAAATTGTAATGAAAGCTAAATTATAACGGATAAAAATGGATCAGTGTATGTTTAAATGCCTAATAACTGACCATTTTCATAAATTGTCATTGTACGCTCAAAAACGTTTCACTTGAACTCAAAATAGAAGGCCGACCCCTTTTTTGCAAGCTGACCCAACAAATGGCAGAGCCTGTTCAAAACCCACCGGCACATAAACTGTCACTCGTAACTGGACACGTCACTCAATATAGCCTTCTGACCACAGAGAGACTGAATGCTGGGACGGAATCTAACCGTCCAACTGCGGAAGACCTCCAGAGCTCTGAAAGGGCAGTGGGGTCAGGCTGTAACTCTATCCACAGCCCATAACTACCGCCCCCTTCACAGGGCAGTAAATCTCCTTACACGGATGCTTCCATCCTCTGGGCTCCCCTGCGTTTGAGACGTGGGTCAATGCAGCACCAAGAAAAGCCACGAGGTGCTGATTTAACATTAATGTTAGTGGCACTTTTCCATTACGCCACAAACTATGCTTAGAACACGGCGACTCCTTAAAATGCCAGACGTTTTGACGCAAGATTAGGAAGCGCTTATCCCTGGATCCAAACATGTATTTTAGTAAACCAGATGACTTGTGACCTCTAGTTCTGCTACTGTCAACAATTTTAGGCTTACAGGCCCAGAGTGAATTTTCAGAAGTAATATCACAAAATATTATTATTAAGATAAGAAGTAATATTTTCAACGTTATGTATATTTATTCATTTAAAAAAATATATATATTATTTAAATGTCTTGTTTTTGACCAACTCGTCAGAACTGGAATGCCCTCAGCATGGCAACATGGGCATTTGAGCAACAACGCATAGTGGGGTGGAAACTAATGCCTTGTCCAAATACCCACACTTGCAGTCTTTGCACTTGACCACTTATATGACGTATTTCCTGTATTTGGCCCAAGTGTTCAAGTGAGCATGTAGACCACAAGTGTGTGTCGAACTTTTCATTACCTGATGGGACACACTTGTAGTGTTGTAAAAATGCAAGTGTCTGCATAACTTTATTTAAATTTTAAATACTTTGCATTTTAAAATCAACTTCTAAATGTCTGTTTAGTAGTCCCTATAACATGACAATTTTAATTTGTGGTGCTTCTAATTAAGTGATAAAAAGCAGTTGCAAATGTTGTACAAAATATATCACCACTAATCTTTGCAACAATAACACGTAAAAACACGGTTTTTCTACCAAATTATCTGTAATATCTAATTATTATATTAATATTTAATTTGCATTGGAAAGGTTTCCTTGACCTCTCGTGAGATCTCGGCAAAAAGTCTCACGATTTAGTTCCAGAACATGATGCATGATGGGATACACCAAGCCTTGAATAGCGCTCCGGAGCGGTATTCGAGATAGTGTGGATTTAGTGTGCTTTAAGGGCACTG